ATATGCTTTTGGGGAGGATGAGTGCAGAAAAAACCCATCTGTGTTTTATTCTGTCTTTTCAGTTCGATATTTCTTTTGCTGTCTTTTCAGCAGATATTTCTTGCCTGCAACCAGCCAACTTATTCACTGTAACAGTCAGGTCCACACTGTCCTATTTCATCTCCTATTTTTGATGGAAGTAGTAGAGAAGCAGCTCTGCCCCATCCATGTCGGGAGCACGGGGAAGGTGCCCAGAGCAGCCAGCATAGAGACAAGCCAGCAACAAAAATGCAGAATATAACAGATATGTGGGGATGGGGCACCGGGCTCGGCTGTTCAGACCATTGCACAGGGAGGTATTTCGTGAAACAAGCACAGCAAACGTACGCCAAAGGAGATGAATGCTTTTTCAGACAAGGCAGAAGTCACCCGTCATCTCAGCACAGTTAGCCCGGTGCCGTGGGAATCCCACGGCAAAGCTGAAAGGCTGCGGGCACACCCATGTGGGCAGGAGCTCCGGCCCCAGGCTGGGGACAGCTCACAGCACTGGCTGAAATTAAAATTAAACGATCCCTCTGCCAAACTTAGACCTCACCGATAACCCAGGACCTGAAAACGCTGCTGCAGTTGAAGTTATCTTTTTTTTATATTTTATTTTCTGACACATACTGTCCCTTGTGACCAGACTTAGCCTCGTGCCTGACAAAGGCTGCTTTCTTAGAGCTAATGCTGCCGCACACCATGGCCCCGCAGCCCCGGCGGATGGAGACATGCAGAGCATGGCCAGCAGCAGGGACCTGCCCCGGCTCCTCTCTTCCTACACCCGGCCCCAGGGAAGCCACTGATAAAGCACACACCAGCGTTGGACAGCCCTGCCTGCAGCTCTGCCTGCAGCCCGGCCCGCTCTGCATCCCCAGAGCAGCCGAGGGACGTGCAAATTCAGCCCGACTTGATCTCAGCAGCTCCAGCCCCATCTGGTTCCTGTTAAATCAGCCACACAAGGTGGAGCGGGTTTCCTACCCCCGCGTTGTAGCGTGCAAGGAGGGGGAGGTAAAACAGCTTTTTTTAAGGCATGGCTGCCCTTCTCTTTACCTTCCTGCCTGGAAGGCAGCCAGGAGCAGCTCATGCCTCCCTGCTCACATCTGGAGGGGATCTTCCCCTCCCGGGGCTCGCTGCACGTCCCATGCCAGGCACTGCTCCTCTGCACGGGCATCGCTCCTCTGCCCCAGGCACGCACTCGCTCCGGGTCTCGCTCCTCTTCTGTCACGGCAGCAGCTTTGTCCTGAGCTGCTATTTCCAGCCCGTGGGACCTTCTGATGTTTTCATACATGGGAGAAACGGGGCAGGCAAACCACGGTCCCGCAGCAGGGAGGGAGGGATGCTCCGCAGCAGCCTGCTCCTGCCCGAGGACGAGCAGCGGCTCAGCCCACCATGAAATGTCATGCCCTGAAAGCAGATGTGAGCTCGTCCTAAGCTGCCAGGGCGTCTAAACTGCCATAAAACCCACATTACTTTTCCAAGAAAGGCTCAGGTGTGCTGCCCTGCTAACCTTGGCCCAGCTGAAGGACCACTGGTACCCACCTGTGCGCAAAAGTGAAGAGCCAGCTCTGCCGCTGAGACCCCACCTTCCTTGGGCACAGGACTGCGTTTCACTGGCATCCCCTGACAGGCCAAATAAAGTGGGTTCCCTTCACTAAATGAAACAACTCGCAAGGCGAGGGGCTGTAATCCAAGGGCGAGCCCTGGCACCGGCGGAGAGGAGCCGCGGAGGAGCGAGATCGCAGGAACGGAGCCTGCACACCCGGTGGCAGCAAAGAAACGCGGACGAGTGCGGGCAGGGCCCTGGCAGGCAGCACCGAGATGCTCCCGGGAGATGGGGTGGATGGAGGAGCCCAGAGGGCCAGATCCTGCAAGCACAGAGATAAGGGGCAGGACCCTACCGGAGCCCAGAGAATCAGGGAATGGCAGAGGTGATGCCAGCACATGCAAAGCATCGGGTGTTTTAAAAGGTGAGAATCCAACCCTGCTTCCTAATCATCCTTTTTTTTTTTTTAAGCTTTTAACCAAACCCCAAAGCGTCCCCCTGACTTGGACCATCAGCTGCAGGTCTGCGCTTGCAGTGCTCTGCTTACACTGCCTGTGCCGGTGCTTACCAGCCACTGCGGCTCCCAACCAGCCCCATCTCTAGCACACCCGGCCCCACTTGTGCTTTAAAACCCCAAAACGGTCCCTCGCCATGCTCAGCTGGGGCTGAGCTCTGCACCGGCACAGCCCCAAGCGCACGGCCAGGGCGGGAGCCCCACAGCACCCCTCCTGCCGCGGGCAGGCAGGCAGCGGGCAGCACCGAGAAGCTTTCCAATTGCCAACGCAGGGAAAAGTCCTCAGCCTACAAAAAGCCTCGCGGGATCCCTGCAAGGTATCGGGAACAGGGCGTTAACCTTCATCCAAACAAAGGTGGGGAGCATTGTTGCGCTACGTGAAAAAAGCAAAGCACTTGGGACCGCGACAGACGGCCGAGACGAGCAGCGACCCTGTTGCAACATCCACCCTTGAGATGCTCCAGCGCACAGGGGTTCACCCGGAGAGCTCGCTCGACAGCAAACCAGGCCAGAGCAGCACCTGGCTGCTTGCAACGCCCAGACGTCACTGCTGCGGCACCGCTGCGGTGGGCAGAGCGGCTGGTGCTCTCCTTCCTAATTGTCTCTCTGCAAACACGCTGCTTATTTGCAAAGCCCGTGGATCTGAAAACAGTCTTTCAGGCTACAGCACGGCCATGTTTCACCAGGGCCCTACAGCGAGCTGGAATGGATTCAGGCTCCTGCCGAGATTTCGCCCCTCTGGGAGCATTGCAATCAGGCAACGCTTCCCCAGGCAAGCCAGCATTTATTCAGCGAGCACAAGGCAGCGAGGACGGTCCTCTGGTTAGCGTGGGCAAGTCACAGCCAACCCTGGAAACATCTACCAGCCACTGCAAGCATCCCCAGGTGTCTGCATCTTTAGCTCCGGCTCTGAGCGTGTCGGAGCTTTCATAAACACTTTTGAAGGAATAAGCCTTCCTGAGAGGCAGTTCATCCCAGCTCCAGCTCAGCCTGGTGCTAATACCGTTAGTCACACCCCAGGGGGAAGCAGCAGCAGAATGGAGGAGGTAAACCGAGTCACGCAGCTGTTTCATTAAAATGCTATTTCAAAATAATGGACATGAGGGGGATCACGACTGTCGTGTCCCCTAAGAGCTGAGGTTGGCCAAGGAGCAATTTCCCCTTTGGATGTGTCAAAATATTTAGCTCTATTTCTCACATTAGCTCACATCAAGTATAATTCCACTGCTGTTTTTTAAGCCTACATAACACAAATTAGCCACCTAAAATTTTACTCATGGATATTTCCAAATGGCTTCACGGCACAGCGGCTACACCGAGCGATTTTGGGGCTGCCCGCAAATGACAGTGACAGACAGATTGATGGCAATGAAGTTATTTTGTCTCCTTTTGCAGCTGACTAAATTTGCATTGGTATTTTCATGGTACAGACTCCACCTTTCATCTAACATGATTAATGCTGTTGTAAATACAGAGAAAGAACCAGCTGCTTCTGGCTTCTTAGCTTCTGCTGAGCAGCTGATGAAAAAAAGTCCTTTTGTTCAAGCACCTCTAGAGCCTCTGCAGACTTTATGAAGAGCCTTTTTATTTCAAAAGGTTAGAGAAACGCAGTGTCTAGCGCTGGTATATCCTGCTTTTCTCACCACAAATCTGGATGGTATCTGCTGCAATCGAAGCGCCCGGGGCAGCGCACCTGGTGCCAGCCCGTGCTGTCAGGATGGGTCCCCCATTAGCCAGGGATGTGACAGGGCATCAGGCCTGAAGGTTTTCCTCGTGTCTTTGCAGGGTCCTTATGAGCACAGCTTGTGCCCAGCCAGAGAAGGGGCCGGACAACCTGGAGGGCTCCAAAACCAGCCCCGGGGCCCCGCAGATCCTCTGGCAGGAACGAAGTGGCTGAGACATACTGGGACTTGCACCCATGAGCCGTAAGGGCCGGGCAGGTTATTCGCAGACTGAACACACTGCGTGTCCCCAAACCACATAAATTACAGCATGGGTCTGGTAAACAAAGGGCAAAGAGAACATGGTGTGCCACGAGCCTCAGGTGTAAAATTCAAACAAAAAAAGAAAAGCG